AAGGTGGAAAACTCTATAGGACCAACAGTGAGGAATCTATAAATTAAAAGAGACTTAAGAATGCTGTTAAACAATTCTAATCTATGTGCCTTATTTGGATTTGAACAAACTATAGAAAACCATTTATGATAAGTTTGGGGAAATTTGAATAAGTGAATAGTGATGACTTTTTAAAAATATATATGAAATTATACCTGAAAATTGCTTTAAAATAATAATGCAGGAACAGGACCAGAGAGTAGGTGAAGGTATGGCTGAAACAAGAATAGTCTTTTTTTAAAAATTCAGTGTATATATTTTTAAATTTTGTTTGTCATTGCCTTTAGATAGAAAATAGAGAAGATGGCAGCTTTTTTCACATGTTAATTAGAAACTTCTTTCTAATTGCTTTTAAAAAGTGACCCAAGGCTTCAAAACCAAAGCATTCATTCACTCACTCCCTAGTCAACATCCATGGAATGTCTACTGCTACCCCCATATACCCTATGCTGACCGAACTACTGAAAATAAAATTGTGGGTTTAAACAGCAATGCTTAAAATGATTTAAACTGCTTAAAAATATTGCACCTGTGAATCCCTTTTAGTATTTTTAGGGAATTTCTTTACTACTGGGCTTTGAAATTTCAAGCTTTAGAAAGGCCCCAGCTCAGGATTTATAAAACTTGGAAACTATGAGTAAAGATAAATAATTCCAGGCTGGGCATGGTGGCTCATGCCTGTAATCCCAGCTCTTTGGGAGGCCAAGGCAGATGGATCACGAGGTCAGGAGTTTGAAACCAGCCTGGCCAACATAGTGAAACCCCGTCTCTACTAAAAATATGAAAATTAGCTGGGTGTGGTGGCATGCGCCTGTAGTCTCAACTACTCGGGAGGCTGAGGTGGGAGAACCACTTGAACCCAGGAGGCCAAGGCTGTACTGAGCGAAGACCACGCCATTGCACTCCAGCCTGGGTGACAGAGTGAAACTCCATCTCAAAAAAATAAAAAAAACAGTCCTAACAGTCTGTATTCCTAGATAAAACATATAACTTATTTGTCAAACAGTATAGGAGAAAAGTTGACAGTATTTAAAATGCATTTTAATGTATTTTAAAACTTTTTAAATGTATTTTTCAAACTAAAATGTATTCTTAATATATTTTATGTGTATTCACAAAATATAAGAAAATGAAATTTGTGTCACAATTGTGACATGATACCAAAGGAGAGAGTCTCTTCCTTTACTGTAGCAAGTATATACCATAGAGGCACTGAGTAAGAGAGGAACAGAATAGAGCAGTAGCAAGATGAAAATGGAAAGACAAACTCTTCCTCAGTATAAGTAACCAGTGCTATAAAATTTGCTGTGCATAATACAAATGTTGAACAATTGTATAAACAGTGGTTGAGGATTTTCTGCAAATAATAAAAGAAGTGTCAGTGCAGATTATTCTGAGAGAAGAATGGCAAAGAAAATCTACAAAAGCATTTTAGCAGAACTTGGGTAACAGGACTGAGAGAATTTCCTAGAAGCAAACAAATAATTTTCCCCAGTCTCTTGGTAAGGAGTGTTAAAATTAAATTCAAAATTTTAATGTTTGTTGTTTATTGTTTTCTGAACACAATTATTTTTAAGTTACTTATGGCCTATTAAGCCACTTCACAAAACATTACAATTATGTAGTCTCAAAGAGTTAACTAGAAAATGCTTGCAGGTAGGCGGGGCACGGTGGCTCACGCCTGTAATCTCATCACTTTGGGAGACTGAGGCAGGCAGATCACAAGGTCAGGAATTCAAGACCAGCCTGACCAATATGGTGAAACCTCACCTCCACTAAAAATACAAAAAAATTAGCTGGTCATGGTGGCACATGCTTGTAATCCCAGCTACTCGAGAGGCTGAGGCAGGAGAATTGCTTGAACTCAGAAAGTGGAGGTTGTAGTGAGCCAAGATCATACTACTGCACTCCAGCCTGGGTGACAGAGTAAGATTCTGTCCCAAAAAAAAAGTGCTGAAGTGCTTACAGGTAAAAAAAAAAAAACAAGATGCAGGAAAGTAGAATATAACATTTTTATAAACAACTAATAGGCTCAGAACTCATTTATAAATGTGTATATATGCACACATTTATAAAAATCTGTATAAAATTATATAAGCCTGAAGAAAATAGAGAAGGGTCCATAGTAGGTAGTTAACAGGTTCCTAAGAGAAGCGGAGGTGCAGAATGATAATGTTTTGAAGATAAGAGAAAACCAAAGTTAAAAAAGAAAAAAACTTTGAAGTTCCTTAAAAAACAAAAACACTGATTTGATGACATTGTTTATATATGTATGCATTATTACCTATTTGTCTATATGTAATAAGAATTTTTAAATTTTAAATAAAGAAGATTCTGGTTCAAAGAGTAATGAAAATAATAAGTGGTAGTCCACACAGGCTCTTTCTTGGTTCTTGAAGTTTGAGCTTTGCTACAAAAATAATCTCCATTCAGTTGCTTTTGTCCACCCTACAGTGTTTGTTAATTGGCAAGTCCAATTTTGTAAATTTAATTTGGGGTTATTTCTGAAAATACATTTTGTGGGCAATACAATGATATGCCACAGGAAAAAAATATATACAGGTAAATATTTATAAATAAATTCCCTTAATATATTCTAATTGTGATAGTTTCTGCAGCATAATTTAAAATTATGCTAGTTTCAGTGTCCAAATAAGGATGTTATTAGTATTACTATTGAGCATCTGGCTGCACATAGTAACTTTTAAAATAATTTTGTTTTAGCATGTACTCATAAAAGACATATATAGTACAGTTTTTCTGCAGTTTAGTTTCTGGTTATAGTTAAGTAAAGCAAAGATTCACTATTTTATATGCAGTGCAAGGGCATAACTTTTTAAAACAATGAATTATTGAAGAATAAGAATACAGTTAGGTTTTTTTGCCTAGAGGTTTTTAGATATTTTGCTTTAATGGAATAAAGGGGATGAATTATTTGTAATTGGCGTATTATTTTAGAGAAATAATTTTTTAAGAGTTTAAACAATTTTTTAACTCCTGTAACTCCTGTGATACCTTGAATGATTAGCAAACTTTTTTTTTTCCAGTCCTAGAAATATGTATTTTGGCTAAGGCCAAGCAATTCTGAATTTTTAATGTCCAAATTAGTTGAGTTCAATTGTGTTTGCCTGCAAACTTAGGCTACTATAAGAGTAGAAATTGCCTTTCTCTAAACCTGATAGAGTCTAGAAAAAAAAACATATTTACACTAACAACAAATCGTAAATTTCAAATTTAGGCAAGCATATTGCTGAGTACCCTCCAAAAAAAGGAAGTAAGAATTCTTGATTGTCATTGGTACTTCACAATTTTTATCAGCCTTCATCCAGTTTTGTTTTGTTTTTTAATTTTAGATTCAGGGGTACATGTGCGGGTTTGTTACATGGCTATATTGTATAATGCTGAGGTTTAGGCTTATTATCCTTTCACCCAAGTGGTGAACAAAGTATCCGATAGTTTTTCAACTCCATTCTCCTGTCTCCCTCCCCATGTTTGGAACCCTCAGTGTCTATTGTTCCCATCTTTGTGTTCATACATACCTAGTGTGTCACTCCCACTTACAAGTGAGAACACACGGTATTTAGTTTTCTTTTTCTGCATTAATTCACATAGGGTAATAGCCTCCAGCTGCATTCATGTTGGCACAAAGGACATGATTTTGTTCTTTTATTTTTTTTTTTTTTGAGACTGGTCTCACTCTGTCACCAGGCAGGAGCACAGTAGTGCAATCTCGGCTCACTGTAACCTCTGCCTCCCAGGTTCAAGCGATTCTCTTGCCTCAACCTCCCAAATAGCTAGGACTGCAGGTGCATGCCACCATGCACAGCTAATTTTTGTATTTTTAGTAGAGACGGGGTTTCACCATGTTGGCCATGATGGTCCCAATCTCTTGTCCTTGTGATCTACCTACCTCGGCCTCCCAAAGTGCTGGGATCATAGGCATGAGCCACCACACCCAGCCGGTTTTGTTCTTTTTATGACTGTGAACAAGATTAGTCTTCAGTTGATAATTGTTTAAGCTAGGTAATGGGTATGTGAGAGAGCTCAATATTCTCTTCTCTTTTGTTTGTGTTTTTAAATTCCCATGATAAAAAGTTTGTGGTTTTTTGTTGTTGTTGTTGTTGTTGTTTATTTGTTTGTTTAACTCTTAGATTTCTGGTTTTGGTCCTGCAAACTTAAGTTTAAATTTTTGGATAAAGAATTTACTTTAAAACAAGATTACTTATGCATTCTGATAGATCTTACCTTTTTTTTTTTTTTTTTTTTTTTTTTTTTTAATTCTTTTTGAGACAGTCTCACTCTGTCACCCAGACTGGAGTACAGTGGCAGGATCTCGGCTCACCACAACCTCTGCCTCCTGGGTTCAAGTGATTCTCCTGCCTCAGCCTCCCAAGTAGCTGGATTACAGGCACCTGCCACCTTGCCTGGCTAATTTTTGTATTTTTGGTAGAGACAGGGTTTCACCATGTTGGCCAGGCTGGTCTCAAACTCCTGACCCCAAGTGATCAGCCTACCTCAGCCTCCCAAATGCTGGGATTACAGACATGAGCCACTGAATCTGGACTGTCTTTTCTATCTTCAACTAAATGCTTCTTTCTTAAATTTAGTTGGTAAAAATGTATTTTTGATAATACATTGGATTTTAAATGTTTTACCTTTTATTATCATTTTTTTCTAAACCTGCAAGCTAATCAAACTCTTACTCAGCTCATTTGAGATTTTAATTTCTGCATCATGTATGCTTTTTGTTTCCTGAATAAAAATGTACTGAAAGCTTTCTAATCCAATATATAACTAATATTAGGCCTCTGAAGATTAGTAACCTGCTACTTATGAAGTTTCCTAACCATAAATACTAAGTTGACTTTTTTGGATTAGTTTTTTTTTGTAGCTTAACTCAACTTGCCTCATTGGCTTGAATGCATTTCCATCACATGGAATCACTTATATTTTTACTTTAGGTACTTGCTACAACCAAGAGACAATGGAAACAAGTCATCCAAAACTGATGACCTGGGGTCTCTTCGATTAAATATATGTTATACAGAAGACTGCGTGCTTCCTTCAGAGTACTATGGTCCTTTGAAAACTTTGCTGCTAAAATCACCAGATGTTCAAGTATGTTAAGAACCTTAAGGATATGATTTAACACAAAATGGCTAAAATAATTCTATAAATGATAAGGAAAAGATTTCAGAATATCAAGTTTTATTAAAACAGTAAAAATCATATATATACATATATATATATATATATATATATATATATATACACACACACACACACATTTCTATTTATCTGAACCAGAGTACTGTGATTCCAACGTATGCTCCAACAGTCATCTCTGATAAAAAATTTAGAAAATTACCCTGTACCACAGCTTTAGTCTCATTATTTCAGATACTTTTACAGGCTAGTGATTGAATAGTTAATAATGTTTCTTTGACTTTTGTGCTTGTTTTCTGCCTTCCTATATTTAGCCAATATCTGCCTCAGCTGCTTACATTTTGAGTGAAATATGTCGAGATAAAAATGATGCTGTTTTGCCCCTTGTACGACTGCTGCTGCACCATGATAAACTTGTTCCTTTTGCCACTGCTGTGGCTGAATTAGACTTGAAGGATACACAGTAAGAGTTATATTTTATTAAATGTTAATTACATGTTCTTGAAATTAGTTTGACCGATTGTTTTGGTAGTCTGAGTTTTTTTGTATTGATCAGCCTTACTGTAGAGTAAGCTGAAAAGAAGTACTTAGCAAATAAAAGGCAGTTAAGCTATTAAACGATATTCACCTACCTAAGGACAATTAATGAAGGATGTTTTTCTTTAACTCAGGAGGAAATTTTATATGTTACTAATCTGTTTCTTAGTGTTATGATTCATGTGTCACAAGTAAAAACACAAGAGCAGAAGTGTTTTTTTCTTTATTCATTATGTATCACCCTTACATGCATATATATGACATTCTAAACAGCAATCAAGTGACTTCTTGTTCACATCAGAGTCTAATATGGTTTTTTTTTTTTTTTACACACACAGACATACATGTACTCCACATTTTTGGTTCATAAATATGATTTGCCTTGTTTAAAAATAAACGTGAGTGTGTGTGTGTGTGTGCGGGGGGGGCTGTGGGTGGGTGTGTATTGGGTTCGTTGTTTGTTTTTAAGATGGAGTCTCGCTCTTTCGCCCAGGCTGGAGTACAGTAGTGTGATCTTGGCTCACTGCAGCCTTTGCCTCCTGGGTTCAAGAGATTCTTCTGCCTCAGCCTCCTGAGTAGTTGGGATTACCGCCACCACGCCCAGCTCATTTTTGTATTTTTAGTAGAAATGGGCTTTTACCATGTTGGCCAGGCTAGTCTCAAACTCCTGACTTCCCCAAGTGATCCACTTGATTAGCACCCCCAAAGTGCTGGATTACAGGCATGAGCCAGCACACCTGACCATTATTTTAATATATTTTTGTTAACTTTGAAAAACCTAATGGCAGCAAGCTTTTAAGTAAATGGTAAAAATTATTAAAATTGTAGGTAAAATTATTAAAATTATGCCTTCTAGTATGTCTTACCTATTTCAACTAAATGCTTCTTTCTTAAATTGGTCAAGTATGTTATATTATTGGTTTCACAACCTTTGTTTACTACACTTGGTTTCATCTCTTTCTATTTCAGAGACGCAAACACAATTTTTAGAGGAAATTCCTTGGCTACCCGATGTCTGGATGAGATGATGAAAATAGTGGGAGGGCACTACCTGAAAGTAACATTAAAACCTATTCTAGATGAGGTACAGAATTTATTTGCAGCAATGAGTTTGTGGCCTTATGATAGTGGCTGTTTTATCAAGTGATGTATTCATGGGAAGGATTCATTCAGTCATGTGTTACTGAAAAAATAAGGCTGCACACTTTAGAAGCACGTTATTTACTTTGTCAATGGATTTTTACCTAAAGGGTACAGTATAGTATAAAAACATCATTTCTTTGTTATGGGATTTCTATTTTAGCTAGAGTTTTAAATATATGACACATACTTTTTGATACAGCATTTTAGAAAATTGTATGTGTTATCCCTGGATAGGAGGTTTTACACTTTGTTACAACTTAAATTTCTATAATTAACTTTTATTATCAGAAAAATAATAGTTCTTTTCATTTTGTCAGGTTACTTAGAAAAGAAAATTAACTGAAAAAATTATTTTTCAGATATGTGACTCCTCAAAATCCTGTGAAATCGATCCTATTAAATTGAAAGAGGGAGATAATGTAGAAAATAATAAGGTAAGTCCTTGCTATGTTAATATTTATATTGCATTAAAATTGGTCTTAGTGGTGTACACTTCTCCCACTTATGTTAAAATAAAGCCATATGGGGGGAAGCAGTGCTGTTTATTCTTTACATAAGCCTTTACTATTAGCAGCATTTTCTAGGATTAGCTTTTAGAGTGTTATTTCCTCAGTAGTTTCACTTTATTTTTGTTCTTGTCTCTTTAGTAACAATAGTGAATGGAAGCTATAGCTACAGTTGCAGTCCCTATTCTGGCCATTCCTTTGGGCTCAAACTGATCAGCCTAAGTGACACAGTGACTTGATCAGTCAGTAGTTTCAGTGGCCTCTGAAAAAACAGTGATTGTGTTAGGGTCACAAATTTTTATTGCAGTGGATAATAGTGTCAACAGTGTCCTTGTGCTTGTGTATCTGAGGTTTTTTTGTTTTGTTTTGTTTTCCCTTTTGGATCATTTTATTCCCTGTTGCTTCTTGTGAGGTTTATTCATAGATTGACCTCTTAGGCCTAGCAAATCTAAATTTAATTTATTAAGTCAGTATACACGTTGTTCTTTAACTGAATGAGTTTGGAAAAGGGAAACAATGCTTTAAAAAGTATTAGGTAGTGACTATCTAATAAATCTCATCTTCATTACATTTTTCTTTCATGAAGGCTATTAAAGATGTGTGAACATCAAAATCTTAATGTTTACCTTTTTAAATCCTGCAGGAAAATCTGCGCTACTACGTAGACAAGTTATTCAATACAATTGTAAAATCAAGTATGAGCTGCCCCACTCTAATGTGTGATATCTTTTATTCTCTGAGGCAGATGGCTACTCAGAGATTTCCCAGTAAGTGCCTTCTTTTACTAAAACATGCCATTTCTTTTTCTTTGCCTTTTTTTAGATATTAATTACATATTTGGTTTGTGTGAGATATTTCAGGTTTTTAAGTACAATCTTCAGTTTTTCAAAATGGTTCTAGTTTTCTCATAAGAAATCGGATTTATTTTTCTTGAAATCTCAAAAATACATATTTCATTTTATTTCAGTATAATACAACTTTATACAAAGAACAAATCAAAATCACCATTAGATTTAAGAAAGACAAAAATGTAGAACTGTAACATTATATAAATAAGCATTTATATCCGATGCTTATGAGAGTTAAAAATAAAAATAACCTTTGGTATTTATGCCAACTATCTTTTCCAGCTGCATGCATTCAGATAGTGAGACTATTTTGTTCCATAAAATTAACTAGATTTGTCAGTTTGAGAATGCTAATAAGGTATTGGTGGTGAGAGATTTTTACAGAAATGGTCTTAGATATTAGAAACCTTTCTGTTGCAACATATGTAGCATTTTGAGATACATGTATCAGTAACTGGCATTTTTAATTTTGAAAAAGTAGCTATGTCAAGGTTTTGCTTAGAAACATTTCATAAAATTAAGAGTTACTGTCCCTGTTAATACTTACAATTATTCACATTTTAATATATCTCAGAAAAGTAAACAAACTTGGTATAGCTAGCTTTCCAGATCTAGCTATAATGGGGGAGGTAGTGGGTAGGAGGGTAAGATTAGGCAGATACTTAAATTATTAGTCTTAACCAGCTGTGCAAAACTGTGAGTTTATTTCTGTAACCATCTGAAGAGATCTTGTAGCTTTTTCATGCTCTTTTAAGCTTGTGCTCACCCTGTGCACACATATGTACAGTTAACTGCCCTTTTGCTAAATTGACCCATTACCAAATTAGTGGAGCTGAGTTATCTGACTAACATCTAGATAAATTCAAATCTAAATGTCTTTACTAACTATAGTTGCAAATAAGACTAAATCTAATCTTCATAACAAAAATAAGGGGAACCAGAGATACACAGAAAGGTGAAATGCTCATTGAAATTATATTTTTGAATAGTTAGGTCATGATAACCATATTGACTACTTAGTAACACACACAGTATTAGCCTGCATTATCTCCTATTCTCATGTTCACAAAACCACATGAGATAGGGACTACTTCCATTAGGTTTGAAACTAAGGTTTAGAGAAGCTGAGTAACTTTACCAAGGTCTATGACATGGCCACAGGCCAGCAGGGCCTCAAACCTGGGCCTGGTCTACTCCAAAGTACATGCTGCCATTCACTGTACTCTACACTAACTGGTGATCTTGGCCTTAAATCTGCTTTAGCTGTTTAATTCTTGTTTGTATAAATGATCTTAAACACTTTATGTTATTAGATACATGTAGATGTATCTCCTTAGTTATGTTTTTGTGAACTTAACATGGTCTTCATATCCTCACTAGACTATAGTAGTGACAGTTTTGTTGCCATAAGTGTTTCATATTCTCTTGTTTTTGTCGTTCTTACTACCTTAGAAGACTGGGGAAAGGAGAGGTAAGAGGGCAGGGCAGACAGCGCGTAGAAAACAGATATTATTAAAGGATGACAAATTAAACAACTTGTTGATGGTCACCTACTGAATGACTTAGAAGAGTTAAAACTCACAACAAACCCAAAGATTCTTTCCCTCACCACCTGTTTCACCACCATCTGTCTGATTGTTGGGTAAAGTTGACTCCAGTCCAAAACGAAAGTTGTAGGTGAATGATCAAAGCCACAAGTAGTCTTCATTTCATCTGCATTTTTATTTATGGACTATTGATAGCTCTTTTAAAGTAATTATTTCTGCCTAATTATTTTTGTTGCATAACCTTTGAAATTAAGATTTAGGGGGCAGTAGGGGAGAGGGCGTGGGAATTGAAACAAGAACCTAAGACTGAAAGCAGCCTGTATCCTACTCTTAAGGGATGATTCATTGTTACCACTAGGTAGTGCTAGATACACTTTTATTTTTGTTGTAATTTCAGCAATCTCTTCTTGCAGATAAGGAAAGAGGTATTTTTTCAGATTAAATTATTTCTGAAAAACTATCAGCTTTGCCTTTTTTCATATTATTCCTTATTTCTTTTGGATTTTTTTAATCATAGTGTTTTTTTCTTTTAATTTAGTCATAAACCTCATGATCATTTCATCACCTCAGTACTTACTAGACAAATTATGTTGCTCTCCTAGTTTACATGTCTTTTCTATATTTTTTTATCATCTTTGTTTTTTAATTAAGTGTTTTTGTGCATGACATTTCACCATTTTTTTCCTGCAGATGACCCTCATGTTCAGTATTCTGCAGTGAGCAGCTTTGTATTTCTTCGTTTCTTTGCTGTAGCCGTAGTATCACCTCATACTTTTCATTTGCGACCTCATCATCCAGTAAGTGTTTGTTCTTCTGAAAGCTTTATTCCATTTTTCAAATTTTTGTTAAAATGAAGAAAAGATAAAATAAACCAATTTCACTGGGCTGCATTTTCTTATAACTGATACTTAAATTTACTAAGCATTTTTCTTGGCCATTTCAGTCTTTCAAGAGAGGCTAATCTATTTTTTGTTGTTAAAAGATGTTATACAAGAGTGATAAAAGGTTGTTAACTACTGAAGTTTTGATGAGTACAAAGGTGATTTATTATATTTTTCCATCTGCGACTGTGTGTGTTTGTAAATTTCCGTAAGATTTTTTTTTCATTAGTTACAGGTTTCATTTTGATAGGTTTTTTATTCAAATAAAATCTGCTTTCCTGATTTATTAAAATAGTTTAATTTGGCAGATATTTTTAAATTTCACAGAAATTTGAAAAGGCTCTTTTCTCTAAGATAGACATCTACAAGAGAAATTTCATTTAATTTAGAAACAGCATCTAAGATAGAATAGTGGCAATGAAACTGACAGCATATAATTTGAAAAATATTAAATAGCAGGTGCACTGGATAAGCATTAACAGTAAAAACAGAAAAAGAAACCAGGAATGCAGTATAGTGAAAGATGTAGGAAATTTTATTGGAACATAACTTGTTAAATATATTGATATTTTTACTTTTTATTCACCTGAGGCAATACTGTAAACATAGATTTAAAAATTTTTGGCCGGGCGCGGTGGCTCACGCCTGTAATCCCAGCACTTTGGGAGGCCGAGACGGGTGGATCACAAGGTCAAGAGATCGAGACCATCCTGGTCAACATGGTGAAACCCCGTCTCTACTAAAAATATAAAAATTAGCTGGGCATGGTGGTGCACGCCTGTAGTCCCAGCTACTCGGAAGGCTGAGGCAGGAGAATTGCTTGAACCCAGGAGACAGAGGTTGCGGTGAGCCGAGATCGCGCCATTGCACTCCAGCCTGGGTAACAAGAGTGAAACTTTGTCTCAAAAAAAAAAAAAAAAATTTTAAGCATATAATCTTTGTTCTGGAGTCCTATTTAATTATTAAAAATGTAAATCTCCACTGCATAGATTTACATGTTTGTTTTTAAAATTCTTTATTATTTTTGCTATACTTCTGATTCCTTCTTATGTGGCTTATTTTGGCTGATTATTTAAGCTTTTATGTTCCAAATACTTTATAATCATATCTAATTGCTTTTAGTTGCTGATTGGTAAAATAAATAATAATAATAGCCCACATTTATTTAGTGCTTTGTATTAGGCTTTGTTCTAACTACTTTGTTTTAACTTATTTGGTCTCCTAGCAATCCTATGAGGTAAATTCTGTTATCATCCACATTTGCAGATAAGGAAATCACAATACAGTAACTTTTCCAAGCTCACACAACTGACAAATTATGATTTGATCTTACTCAATTTGAGCTGGATTAAACTGGAATTCAAATTCAGTCAGTCTTTATCAACTGTGAGCTTAATCCTATCCCTTCCAACCTCTTAGGCCAACATATGTTCAAGTACCTATAATGTATCGTTTCATGCTCAGTACTGGAGATGCAGTGATGAATAAGATACTCTTTGCCCTTAGGAAACTCACAGTCAAGAGGAGTTGCTCATTAAATAATGTAGGGAAAACACATGAGTTTTAGAGTTAAACCAGGTTCTGAGTACCCATTTCTCCCCTCAACGACTGCATGGCATTGATGCTCACTCAACTTTGTGAGAACTGAATAGAACCATGTTGCAGTGGCAGCACCACGCCCTTTCTTGCCAAAGAATAAATGGTCTGTGAGTAGCCCCAGCAGAGAGTGGGCCAGTGTCCTTTTGTTCACAGGGCTGTCCATTCTGTGGCTTTGTTACTAAAGCTGCATAGAACTCTGAGGCAATGAAAGCGTGGTAGCAACATTCTGGACATAAACAGAACTCCTACTTCTGAACTTGTGAGTCTGCCTTGTATTCATACTTGAATTTGTATATTCCTGTAACAGATGTTGGTGGATACTTAGGTTGGTTCCGTGGCTTTGTTATTTTAAATAATGCTGCAAGAAACATGAGTGCAGGTGCCAGGACATCTTTAAGAATGTTATTTTCTTCAAAGGCAGAGAATTGTAGGGACCTTTTTATTTTCTGAATAACCTTAATTTAGGTGTGTATCTATTTCATAAGTATATCATAATGATCATATCCCAAACATCCCTTCTTTTCCAGATTGCCTTATATTCTGGTTTTCTCTTCCCCTTCACATTCATTGCCTGTTTTCAATGGAGGGGGCGGGATACTAAAATATTAAGGAATGTGAGCCAAAAATTAAAGCTTTTCTGGTTCTAAATTTTTCTGGGTATATCTTTAGATACAAGATACTGTTTACTTGAATCCTTACAACAAAAAAAAAATGGTCTGTGTTTTGATAGAAACTTCCCACAAATGTATGGATTGGTGAAAATTCAGCAGGGTATTTAAGCATTTAAGATATGTTCATTTTGTCTATGTAAATTATATCTCAATTTAAAAAAAAATGAAGGAACAAAGATTCCTGAGGGAACACCATTTAGTCAATTTTATATGCTCTTATATATTACTTCTTTCAGATAGATAGGCCTGAAAAACATCTTGGATAATAGACCCAAATAGTCACCCTCTGGTAAGATCCAGAACAAACTAGGTGACTTCACATTTCCTAAGCTGAATTTAGATCTTTTTGTCCATGGCGAAAAGAGTTAATTGCAGAAGCCATTTAAATTGAATATGTTTAGAGGTGAGCTGAGCACAGAAAATTTGGAACACCTAAAACTGCCATTTGAAGTTATAAGGTAGTAAAGTAGATGCCTTTGACATTCCAGAAGTGAATATAATTTGTCAGGTAATCCAAGGTGCATACCGTACAAAACAACTTATATATAATATTGATAAAATTATGGGTTTTGGCCAGGTGCAGTAGCTCATGTCTGTAATCTCAGCACTTTGGGAGGCTGAGGCGGGCTGATCATCTGAGGTCAGGAGTTTGAGACCAGCCTGGCCAACATGGCGAAACCCTAGTCTCTACTAAAAATACCAAAATTAGCCAGGCGTGGTGGCAGGCACTTATAATCCCAGCTACTCTGGGGGCTGAGACAGAATTGCTTGAATCCAGGTTGTGGAGGTTGCAGTGAGTCGAGATCACACCACTGCCCTCCAGCCTGGGCAACAGAGCAAGACTCTGTCTCACAAAAGAAACAAAAAAATGTGGCTTTTAAAAGCACAACATGTTCATTAATTGCTTTGGGAAGAATTGTCTAGTATATATGGCTTCTTTAGTCTCTTAATTCCTTAGTCTAGTGAGTTGTACCCAGCCTTAGCTAGATTTTAGCTGTGTGTGGTTTGAACGTTTTTGAGCCATTGTTTTATAGCAATGTAGTCCATTTATTCTACTTTTTTATACAAATTATTTTCTTGAAAACTTAATAGTAGTTTTGGTCTTTTTTTACATTCTTTAGGATGCACAGACAATTAGAACATTAACTCTCATCTCAAAAACTATTCAGACTTTGGGAACCTGGGGGAGTCTATCCAAAAGCAAGGTAAGTCTTTATATCTTTTATTGTTTCACATTTCTAAATGTTGTTACATCCTATGATCCTTTCTCCTTGACTTACCTTCTTCCAAATTAAAAACAAAACAAAACAAAATACACACATACAGACACAATTCTTTTAAGTAGATGCTCTTTTAGTCACCTGTTAAGGAGGACAGTTTCAGACGCTGGGCATGGTGACTTGTGTCTTTAATCCCAAGAAGCTGAAGCAGGAAGATCACTTGAGGCCAGGAGTTCAAGGCTGTAGTGCACGATGATGTCACCTGAGAATAGCCACTGCACTCTAGTCCCAGCAACACAGCAAGACTCTGTCTCTAGAAAATTTTTTTAAAAATCGGTTTAATGAGAACATTTTAAAAAAGAAAAACTGGATAGTTACATGTAAACTGCTAAATCTGAAATAGGGAGAGCCTAGTGAGGACGTGCAGGACAATCTGTCTGCCTGCCTGCCTGTGCCGTAATCGCATGACAGCTTTGAAAGAAGTCTTCCACTCCAAGCCCTGTACCTCTCTGGAAGTATATAATTGAGTCCTTTTAGGCCTTAATCCTCAGCTTAAAAATACAGTTCATTCTATTCTTAATTCTCTATTTAACACATGTAAACCCTGTGTTTGTTCTTTCTTAGTCAAGTTTCAAAGAGACATTCATGTGTGAATTTTTCAAAATGTTTCAAGAAGAAGGATATATTATAGCAGTTAAAAAGGTATGATTGTTTTATTCTGGAATTGTTAATATTTCTTTCATATAGCATAGGGGAAATAACATTTTATATATATTATTCTTATGACTCAATCCCCAGTTTAAATAATACTGTTTAAACTGTTTGTCAAAAAGACTTCCTTTTTCTTTTTCCTTCTTATACAAAGCTGTGCTTTTCAGCTTTGAAAATACCAGACTTGTATAAGAAGTTTTAAAAACAGCTACTTTTGCCAGTGCCTTAGAAACACAAGTTACAGAAGTCTACGGTTTGGATTTCTCAAAGTGACATTATTGGCTTTTGGGGCCAGATAGTTGTTGATTGTGAGGGGCTGGCTCATGCGTTACAGGATATTTAGCAGCATCCCTGGCCTCTACCCCTTAGATCTAAAAAGTATGCGTCCTGCTTTGACAGCCAAACATGCCTCCAGGTATTGCCAAATGTTCTTTGAGGGGCAGACTTGCCTCTGGTTGAGACCCCCTGGTCTCTAGGGGTAAAGGTTTTGTACGGTGTCTAATGTATAGTGGACACTTAATTGCCATAGTAAAAAATATATGTATTATTGAACACTTAATAAACAATACAGATTTATGGTAGTAACCTGAGGAAAGTTACTATAAATTTACAAAAGCCTGTAATATATAATATCCTAACACGAGACCTGCAGCATACAAAAATCACTGTACTTAGCAGTTGACAATGTTTTGAAAGGATCTTTAATTTCTTGGGTCCTTAGTCCTGAATCATCTAAACAAAATATAGCATGATTGTAAAACCCTGAAAACTTAAAAAGAAAAGCTACCTTTAAAGTACTCTATCCTATATAGTCTAGAAGGTAGGAATTTAAGAAAAAAAAGAAAAAGGAAAGAAATGAATTATATCTAAACTGGGCCTGAAGAAGGTACTATCACAATCTTAATGAATCCAAATTAGCAAAGCCAAATGTTAAATTCTTCATTCAATTTCTGTAGTGTGATTAGCAGTTGGTCACTAGAGTATTTTGTTGAGGTATATGTTTGGGCCTTTTTTTATACTTAGGATTCTTACAGAGACTTAGTAAGCGAAAATGATGATTTAAAAAATTAAAATCCATTGGAATATATTTCATCTAGAATAATGCCTGTTTAACCAGAATTTTTTTTAAGCAGCCATTAAAGGCTTTTGAGCAGAAAGTCTTTCAAAAGAATAGGCAAAGAAAAAGCTGCCCTTTTATTTTTAGGACATTGTTGAAACACTTGTGGGATACTGTAGGCAGACTTTTATTGGCAAGATTATGATGTACTGTCTTTTGTTTGGGAGTTGTTTTTCCATGTTTTGTGACCTAGGCTGTGGTAGCATCTGATTTTTTTTCCCCCGATATAATCAGAATGTGTAGAGTTGATAATGTCAGTGGAGAAAGTATTTAAGGGTTCCAGGAGTTTAGTCTGTTCCAGATCTGCCCTGAGTCACCCACTCACATTCTAATTGACTGTCGCCATAGTATGCCTCTCAGACTTGGTTCTAGATTCCTAAGCTAGCATAGGATTTTTTGCCCTAATATCCTAGTTTCCTTTATTATTTAGTAGTTGCAACTGGATATGTGCAGTGCTATAAATTGCAAAAGCTTGTGAAGCTCAATTTCTCATTTTATATTGGCCCTCTGACTAGTGACATTTACTATTGATGCAGAAGAAAACAGAGTAGAACTCTGAATTATACCCTATTTCCTGCAGATTTTAGAAAGGATAACCTGGATAGTTTTATAAACAAGGTGACCATATAATTTGTTGTCTAAATCAGAACACTTCTGAGAGTGAAAAATACTATTAGTGATTATTCTGGGATAATAGGAAGGGTCCTGTTAGGGATGATCCTGAGCAAACTGGGATCTATAGTCACCCTGCCTATAGTCCATCTTAATTACTGGGTTTTTTTTCCCCCCCACTTTATATCTCTGTGTTTACCCCATAGATTTTTAAGAATTATAATAAATAAATTAATGGCTGGACAAGGTGGCTCATGCCTGTAATCCCAGAACTTTGGGAGGCTGAGGTGGGTGAATCACCTACTGATGTTGTGGTAGGGTATTTCTTCAGTTGGACACTTGTACCTGCATCACCCACATATAATGCAAAAGGAACTCTGTTCTTATTCTTTCACTTACCAGTATTTCCTCCCAGCAAACTAGAAAGAAACATTCTATTTGAAAACCTCTAACTCTGGGCTCTGGTGGGCAATTATCAGCCAGTCTTAGGAGAAAATGGCTGTGCCTACAAATTGTACTTCAGAATAAGCACTGGAGCCTCAATATCATCCTTATAGGAATGTGGTTTGTTTTTGTTTAAGTCCTAAGTAGAACAATGTACAAAAGTATAAAGGAAAAAGCAAAGAAATTCAGACTGTCTCTGAGTTTCTGAGTTTGTAATATCCACCTAATGAACTAAACCAATGGATAGCTCATTTAGGGGGCAAAATAGGATTCGTATTTAAGAGGAAGAATTGTTCCTCGAGATCAAGGTAATGGTAGTAAAAAAAAAAAAGAAAGAAAAGAATTGTTCCTTGAACTGCAAATTTCTCTTTCCCATGAAGAGACAGCCAAATACTAAAAAGTCCTTAGCCAAAGTAGCACATTTATGATGCTAAATGTCCTTCACTGGCTGACTTGTCATTGCTAAAGATGGATACTGTAAATTTCCTTGAGTCACTACATTTCCACATTCTCCATGGAAAGTTTATAAATGGTGATTAGATTTCCAGGTTATCCCAGAGAATCTGTTTACACTTCAGTCATGACTGTGAAATACCATCTCTCAGAACTAAAGTCAGTTATATGTAATAGAAGTTGGCAAACTCTTTTCTGTAAAGGGACAGTGAGAAATTATTTTAGGCTTTGCTGATCACATAAGGTCTCTGCCATATAGTCTTTGATTTCACAACCCTTTAAAAATGTAACAGTTAGAGGTTGAGTTTCCTTTATCAAAAATGCTTGAGACCAGAATTGTTTTGGATTTTGGATTTTTTTTAATTTTGAAATACTTCTCTCTCTCTCTCTCTCTCTCTCTCTCTCTCTCTCTCTCTCTCTCTCTCTCTCTCTCATTTTTTTTAACTGGTTGAGCATGCCTAATCTGAAAATCCAAAATTTGAAATCCAGAATGCTCCAGCAAGCATTTTCTTTAAATATCCTGTTGGCACTCAAAAGTTTTGGGTTTTGGAGCATTTGGAATTTTCAGATTAGAGATGTTCAACCTGTATTCTTTTGGGCCTTACCAAAAACAGACTACAGGTCAACTTTGGCCCTCTGGGCCATACTTTGGTGATCCTTAACCTATAATAAAAGTTCACAATCTTATATGTAAAATCATTGGGACCAAAAGTATTTCAGAATTCTGTTTTTCAGAGTTTCAAAAGGTAATCAGTATATACTATATGTAACACTCCCCAGCGGAGCCTAGGGTAGCACACCACAATCAAATACATTAATTCTTATAGCACAGTGCATGAATACTTAACAGCAAGAGAAGTACAGACTATATATAGCCTTACGCCAGTTCAGGTTAAGTTATACCCCTAAATGAGAACTTAAAATCAAAGACAGGATTAAAGACTTTGTATTAGAGCTTTATATATTTCAGTATTTCAGTTAAGGAATTGTGGATTGAATTATTTCTACAAGAAAATATGTTCTTGGTTTTAAGTAACTTAAGAACAAAGTTTTAGGCCGGGCACAGTGGCTCACACCTGAAATCCCAGCACTTTGGGAAGCTGAGGCAGGTGGATCACTTGAGGCCAGGATTTCAAGACTAGCCTGGCCAACATGGTGTAATCCTGTCTCTACTAAAAATACAAAAAATTAGGTGGACGTGGTGACACACACCTGTAATCCCAGCTACTTGGGAAGCTGAGGCATGAGAATCACTTGAACCTGGAAGGGAGAGGTTGCAGTGAGCCAAGATTGTGCCACTGCACCTCCAGCCTGGGCAACAGAATGAGACTCTGTCCCCAAAATAATTAATTAGTTAATTAATTAAAACTTTTATAGTACTTGTCATTTGTAAATTAGGGATTTCCTTTGTAATTAAATATGTGTTTTGTTTTATAAATTACTGTTATGTGTATTCCTTAATGAAGAATTTCCCATTATAATCAATGACATGTAAGATAAACTGAATGTTTTGTAATGTATATTATCTCACAGTGTAATATTTGCCCATTTCCCCATTTAGTTCTTGGATGAAATTTCATCTACTGAAACTAAAGAGTCCAGTGGTACGAGCGAGCCTGTGCACCTGAAAGAAGGGTAATTTAATGAAATTAGAATGAAAATCACTTATCAGTATATATATTAAGTAAGTACAAAGAACGTGGGTCTAAGAGTAAGGAGATCTGGGTTTGTGTTCTGTCTTAGAACTGCCAAAATTATCAGTCAGGTAAGTCACCCTTGCTATCCTACAAACTTGATGGCAGAGAAGTATGATTTCCTGTGTATACAGTCCTAGAGTTGTTTTGCAATTATAGTGAGATTATAGATATTTACAGTACTTTAAAAAAGTAATAGCACTATTCAGTCTTAATGTAAAGTGTTTATTATTAGAAGTTAATGAGGGGACAGGGATCACTCATTTGGCCCTTTTTTATTCTGTATAGCACGGTTAAAAATATTAAATTAAAACAACAAAAAAAAGAAAAATATTAAATTAATTAAAGACTTTATTCCTTTAGTATGGCCAAAATAAATGCAACAGTCGTGGATGGCAAAAATATTTTTACATTTTTAATATAATTTTACACAACTGTTCGTGTCATTTAAAATTAAAGGATACTTCTTTGTTTTAAAATTAAAAGGATACTTCTTTTAATTTTTATAGCTAAACGTTTACATCTGTTATTTTGGCAGTGAGATGTATAAAAGAGCTCAGGGAAGAACTCGAATTGGAAAAAAGAATTTTAAGAAACGATGGTTCTGCTTAACAAGCAGAGAGCTCACCTACCACAAACAGCCAGGTAGTTGTGTTTATACTTTATTGTGGGGTTTTTCCTGGTTCTTGGTGAAGGTTTCTTTGTTGCTTAATGTGACTCTAGTGAATCCTTTCGGTAATATTACTGTAATTTATGGTTTCTTACACTGCTACATACATACTGAGAATGAAACACGTATTTGACAGTAACCCCACGTATATTATGTTTTTCTCACATTAAATTTCTTGAGTTTCTGAAAATGGTGTTCCTTCAGTGTGCTTTGTATTCTAAAAATCCATAGTTATCTGTACTGTTATTTATCAAAGAGCAACAGCCAAACCTTTTAGAACATGGAAGTTTATTTAACTCTGAGAGGCAAAATTAGCAAGTTTCAATAGCTAATAAATGAGAATTTTTCTCTGGTTTGCTGGAAAATATCAGCCGAAAATTCCCACAGTTACACCATAGATTGTGATCCATATACAGTTGTCAAATTCATCCTAGGGTCTTAGCCAGGCTAACCCCAAGGTGGAAGACTTTAATAATTTGCCTCCTGAGAAGACTCTGTTGCCTTTACAAGTGTACTATTTGTGTCAAGGAAGCCATCTTCCTGCAGTGTGATTTGAGAGCTCCAGAGAGGGAAAGCTTATCCCTCAGTAGACTGACACAGTGCTTAAAATAAACTACTTTTACATTTATTCCTTTGGGGTAATTTTCCACAGGAGGCCAGGTGTGGTGGCTCGCGCCTGTAATCCCAGCACTTTGGAAAAACAAGGCAGGCCGATCATTTGAGGTCAGGAGTTTGAGACCAACCTGGCCAACATGGTGAAACCCTGTCTCTACTAAAAATCAAAAAAAAAAATTTAGGCACGGTGGCTCACACCTGTAATTCTAGCACTTTGGGAGGCTGAGGCAGGCAGATCATCTGAGGCTGGAAGTTCGAGACCAGCCTGACAAACATGGAGAACACCTGTCTCTACTAAAAATACAAAATTAGCCAGGCATGGTGGTGCATGCCTCTAATCCCAGCTACTTGGGAGGCTGAGGCAGGAGAATCGCTTGAACCCAGTAGGCAGAGGTTGTGGTGAGCCAAAATCATGCCATTGCACTCCACCCTGGGCAACAGGAGTGAACATGCGCCACAGTGGCGCATGCCTGTAGTCCAAGCTACTCTGGAGGCTGAGGCAGGAGAAGCACTTCAACCCAGGAGGCAGAGGTTGCAGTAAGCCGAGATTGTGCCACTGCACTCTAGCCTGGGCGACAGAGCAAGACTCCATCTCAGAAAGAAAAAAAAAAAATATGAATTATCCATAGAAGGCCATTAGTTTCTGATAGTAAGAAGAATTTAGTATCTATAACACAGATCACATAAAATAGAATCCCTTCTGTTCAAAGTGATCAAGATTCAGAGATGTTCACTTAACCAAACCAAAAGGTTAAAGCAAGAATCATTTAAAAATAAGCAAAAAGATGCATACAGATCTTAAATATTTATGTATTTGTTTACCAGTATTTTGGAGGAGAACCAAGATTATTTCTTTGACTATGGACCTATAGATCAGATTTCCTGTCTTATGTAAATATACCCATAATGCATCAGTTTTCAGGTTGATTTCTCCAAAGTAAATCTAGAACTTAGATGCTTGAAAAGTAATCCACGTACAAAGTCCTCTTAGATTTTCAGGATTGTTACCCTAGTCTTTTACAGCTGTCTTACCCCCACATAAATTAGTTTCATTTGTGGGGGTATGCATCTCATTTTTAGAGGCTGTTCAAAGCATTTACCTGATTTTCAAATAAGTAATAAACCTCTTGGTAGTAGGCACTTATTTTGTCTCTTTACATAAAGTAAATTATAAGTACAACATAGAAAACAAGCATAAGTAGGGTCAGCAACAATCCCAAAGGACTTGGTAAGCAAAACAGCCTAATCAGTGGAAGAAGAAGGGTGCTGGCTTAATTGAGCAGCTAAGCACCACAAGCATTTAGCATCCCGTGAACAACATTCAGTATGTTTTACAGAGGAAATGGAGAGTCTGTTAATCCATCAAATCTGTTAGGAAAGGATCTGTTAAGAGAGCTTCTGCTGTAAATTCTGGAATAATACATCAGCCATAGGGTGCTTTAAAGAGAATGTAAACACAGTTAAGTAGAGTGCTTGAATGGAGCTTCTTGAATAGTAGAGCAATAAGAAAAAAGTTTTATTTCTTAATTCTTCCTTAGGAATGGCTTAGTCAGAATGACTGCATATGTCCCAATGTATTAGAAAGATATAGGAAACCAAATGCATTATACCTTTAGGTATATTACCCAGATAATTTGTTATAACATTTACACATTCAAATAAGCAAAAGTCAATAGACTACATACACGCCCTTCCAGATAGCATTTTTTAAGCTAAGCATATTTTAAATGTTTTAGAAAGTATAACTTACTGAATACTATATAAATGTTCTCACTTATACATAGCACTGGTGCTAATTATGTTTACATTAATAGTACATTTAAATAAAATATAAGGTAAATTAGTCATTCTCTATGAATAAATGAGTTCTTTTTTCCTCATTTAAAGCATTTTCTGTCTAAACCAATATTCTGAAGTATTTTTTGGTTTATAATCTTCTTTAAGAATTAGATAGCGCCGGGCGCGGTGGCTCAAGCCTGTAATCCCAGCACTTTGGGAGGC